ATCATCACCTTTGTTTGGTTTAAAGAGCTTCTTTATCAGCTGTATGATCACTCTCTCAACCCATCATTAGGACAGTTTCTCTGATTTCTAAGACTCAGTTTTCCTTCATTGCTCTTACTTTTCATTTTTTTTTTTTTAGATTAAGACTTTTTCTTTTGCTGTTATTTGAAGTTTGACCCTGAATAACGATTTTTGGGGAAAAGATCTTACAAGCCAAGCTTGTATATTGATACACGGCTTCTCATGATCTTCAAACATATTTGCTGTTAAATTAGGTTTTCTCACCTAATCAAGTCCGTAGCATGTGTTTGGTTCATGCATTTGCATAAGAATTTGAAAAGGAAAACGAAAAAAGTGTCTGAAATCTAGCTATATTTTATTTACATTTCACCTGCCCTTTTTCTTTTCCTTTACAAATTTCTACCCAAATCCATCAGCCAAATGGTAAGAGTATCTCCAACCCTTCATCCATTTTTTCATTTTTAGTAAAAAGCTTGGTCTTTTCATATTTGATGAAAAGATTCCAAATTTTTGTAAAATGCTTAATTCCCTTCCTATCTCAAATTTATAATTTCATCAAATTTGATTTTTTTTCATCTCCAATGCTTCATCTTTTTAAATTTTCATCAAATTCTAATTTGACGAAGGATTTGATGAATTCTCAATTTGATGAAAAAAATGGTTTTCCCTTGATTTGATAACATTTGACGAATGGATTGGAGATACATATTTTATCACTCTTTCATCAAATTTAAATTTGATGAAAAAGAGGTTAAGGATTGGAGATGCTCCTAAAATTCAAACAATGCTTCTATGGGAATTACACAAATTTTCCAATCTTACCATTGGATCATGCCTCAAAATTCAGGTGCGTTGAGATTTCTGCATGATCTAATGGTTGGGAATGTATTGAGAGGCGAGACAGAGGAATTTGGGTTTTTTTTTTGCTGAGTAGACAAAGGACCCCGGTCCATTATAGTTGATTGCTGACCTGATCGATCTATAAAACAGTAAATAATTGCTCTTCCTTTAATTTTCCAAACTAAGAAGTAAAGTAAAATATATGTATTAACAGTAAGCTGCTGTTCTTCTTAGTCTTCAAGTTACTTGTGCCTTCTTTCTCCTAAAATAGAGAGGGTGTACAATTCTAGTTTTAGTTTTGGCATTAGCACACTACATATAATATATATATATATATTTATATATGTATGTGTGTGTGTGTGTGTATGTGTGTGTTGGGTAGGGTTCCGGTTAAAAAATTCTCTCCCTCGCCCCCGACCCGAACCCAATCAGTTGTTCAAAGATTTTCCCAAATCTGACCCTACCATATTCAACCACCCCCAAACCCATCCCATTAGGGTCGGGGAGAGTCTGGGACCCGACAGATCAAGGTATTTTGCCATCCCTAGTGTGTGTGTATTTTTAATAAAAAACTGAATTGTTTCAATTCATGTTCTAGGAGTATGTTGCTTTGTGATTTTTTTTAAGGCAAATAATTGAGACAAGTTTAATTATGTATGTAGAAAATTATTTTTATCTCTGAAAATAGAAGCTCTAAAAATAGTGTGCCGTGCTACTTGTTAGGGAATTCCTTTCAGCAAAAAAAAAAAAAAAAAAAAAATTGCAAAATTGCTAGTTTTCCAGGATATTTCACATGATTTACACTCATTTGTAGTAAAATGCAGCTAGTAGTAACATTAAATTATGTTATCGATACACCAGAATAAATAAAATCAGTCTCTTTTTTGGGGTTTCTTGGGTTTAGGTGTGTAATGATTCCAAACTCAGTCATCGATTCTTGTTCGTCTTTCAGATCACCCACCTACCCGAAATTTACGAACAACACCAGAGCAGCAATTCTTAAACAACATAAATGCTGGTTCATTGTTACTAATATATATTTAGCACAATCACTCTTTTGTTAGTAATTCAAGACTAATTTTCTATTGTTTTGAGGTGAATATGGAGACTATTTGCATATATTAGCATAATTTCCTCTCTCTTGCTTTTGTAAATCAAATTTCAAATTGCTTTGTAAAAATTGTCAGAATTGATATTGAAGTTAAAAACAATCCTCTTCAGTATTTGCAGGAACTGACCACACCATGGAATTCTTACATTCAATCTTTGAAATTAGGAAGAGTACGTGGGAAGCAACTCAAAAATGTGTTGGATATATCAACTGCCTTGATGCTAACATGAAAAATCTCAAACGAAAGACGGAATACTTAAGCAGTTAAGAGAATGGCATAAATAAAGAAGTGAGCATTGCAAAGCAGCGGTCAAGGAAAAGGCGAAAGAAAGAAGTTGAAGTTTGGCAAAAAGATGTGCAAAGGATAAAAGGTGATGTCCAAACATTGCAAATACAAGAGCAAGAAATAGTTGGAAGGAAGAATGTCTTCTTGCGCATATGGTTGGGAAAGCTTGTTGTAGATAAGATTAAGGAAGTGGTAGAGGTGCAAGAAAAGGACAGATTTTCTAATGATTTGTTGATTGATGCATTTCCAAATAGTGCACAGTTCATACCAACTACTAGATCTGTTGGTGAAATCACAAGTACAAGGAACATAGAGAAAGTTTGGGAATACTTGATGGATGATAAGGTTAGAAGGATTGGCATTTACGAAATGGAGGGAGTTGGCAAAACAACCATCATACATCACATCAACAATCAACTCTTGAATCGGTGATGTTATTTGGGTCACAGTATCTAAAGCATTCACTGTTAGAAATGTACAGAGGCAGATAACTGAAGAGCTGAATATTGATCTTTCAAATTATGGGGATGAAATAAGAAGAGAATCAGAAATATATACAATGCTTTCCCAAAAGAAGAGGCATGTGCTCATCTTAGACGATCTATGGGAAACGTTGCCTCTGGAGAAGGTGGGTATTCCGGAACCAACCAGATTTAATGGATGTAAACTGGTGTTAACTACAAGATCGTTAGAAGTGTGTAGAAAGATGGAGTGCAAAACTGTCAAAGTGGAGCTTATCACGGAAGAGGAAGCATTAAATCTATTTATGAGCAAGGTTGAAGAAAATCAAACAGTGATTACTCCGAAAGTGAAAGAATTTGCAACAGAAGTTGCCGAAGAATGTGTGCGTCTTCCCCTTGCTATTTTTACTATAGCTGGAAGTATGATAGGAGTAAATGACATTCATGAGGGGAGAAATGCATTAAATGAATTGATCAACTCAACAAAACAGAACAGGGATGATGAAAGTGACATGTTTGAGTGACTGAAATTTAGTTATAGTTGCCTAAATGATGAAAAGCTCCAACATTGTTTCTCGTATTGTGCATTGTTTCCAGAAGACCATAAAATCCCTAGGAAAGAACTTATAGAGTATTGGATTACTGAGGGACTAATAACTAAGAAGAACAGTATACAAGCAATGTTCGATGAAGGTCACACTATATTGAACAAAGTCATAAATAGTTGCTTGTTGGAGAATCTTACCAACATATATAAGGAAGAATGTGTTATGGCTCTCAACATAACATCAACTAGTCCTTGATTCATGGTATGAGATGGTGAGGTATTAGAAAAAGTACCCTATGAAGACTATTTTGAGGATCTTGATAGGGTATCTTTAATGTTCAATATGACAAAAGAATTTCCTTCTAGAGCACTCATTTGCCCTGAGCTCACCACCTTACTATCGAGGGAGAACAGTTCTCCAATATTATTATGGATTCTGGATTCTTTCTTTATGCATATGCATCGACTCAAGGTATTGGATTTGTCCCTTATCGACATACAATCCCTGCCAGAGTCCATCTCCAGTTTCGAAAATTTGTACTCTGTTTTTCCGAAACGCAACCAACTTGGCTCTGATACCACTTGTTAGGACTATGAGACACCAGAAATCAATCACACAATAACACAAGAGATTTACGTGGTTTGCCAATTGCCTATGTCCACGGGAGAGATATCCACTATAGAATTTCCCGGAGGGAGTTTACACCACTCACACCTCACTCACTCATTATAGAACTCTCACTCACACACTCTTAGTGTTTTGCTCACTGCCTTTCTCTCTATCAAACCCCTCCTCCTCACCTCAATTTATACACAATTGAGGGACAGGAGTTAATCAAGACATGTTTAGTGGGGCGGTTGCCACCCCCACCCATCTTCAATGGAAAGGTTGCCACCCCCACTCTCTCTAGTGGGTTCTCCATATGAAAGGTTGGACTAACGCCAACTTGGAGATGGAATCTGGTAGAGATTCTATGTAGGTGCCGAACAAATCCAATACATTGAGATGATGCATATGCGCAAAGAAAGAATCTGGAATTCGTAATAATGGGTTATATCCCAATAACAAGGTGGTGAGCCGAGGGCAAATCGGTGGTCTAAAAGGAAGTTCTTCTATCTTGCTTTAAATTAAGGAAACCCTCTCAAGATCCTCAAACCAATCTTCATATGGTACTCTTTCTAATCCCTCACTAGCTTTTGCCCTGAATTGAGGACTAGTTGATGTTATTTTGAGAGCCATATCTCTTATCAAATCATGAAACCTCACGAATTATTCCTTATATATGTTGGTAAGACTCTCAAACAGGTAAGTATTTATGAGTTTATTTAATATAGCGTGACCTTTGTCAAACATTGCTTCTATACTATTCATCTCAGCTATTAGTCCCTCGACAATCCAATATTCTATCAGCTCTTCCCTAGGGTTGATATCGTCTTCTGGATACAATGCACAAAACAAGAAACAATGTTGGAGCTTTGGCAACTTTTCTTACAACTTTTGTTGCAAGAAACAATGCACAATATCATTTACTCCCCTCATACTGCCAACTATAGTAGTGATTGCAAGAGGCAGACGTGCACATTCTTTGGAAACTTTTGTTGCAATTTCAACCATCTGATGTTCTTCAACCTTGCTCATAAATAGATTCAGTGCTTCATCTTCAGTGAGAAGCTCCACTTTGACAGCTCTGCACTCCATCTTCCTACACACTTCTAACGATCGTATAGTTAACACTAGTTTACATCCATTAGATATGGATGCTTCAGAATACCCACCTTATCTAGAGGAAATGCTTTCCACAGATCATCTAAGATGACCACATACCTCTTCTTTTGGAAATGCATTGTATACAGTTCTAATGCTCTTTTTGTTTCATCCCTATAACTCGACAAATCAAGATTCAGTGCCTTGGCTATCTGCCTCTGTAGATTTCTAATGTTGAATGCTTTAGATATTGTGACCCAAATAACATCATCAAAGTTACAAGCTTCATTCAAGAGTTCATTGTTAATGTGATGCGTGATGGTTGTTTTGCCGATTCCCCCCCCTTCAAAAATGCCAATCCTTCTAACCTCATCATCCATCACGTATTTCCAAACGTTCTCCATATTCCTTGCACTTGTGTTTTCATAAAAACATCCCATTGTTCGTATGAACAGTCTACTAGTTGGAAGTGCATCAATCAACAAACCATTAGAAAATCTATCCCTTTCCTGCAGTTCTGCCACCTCTTGAATCTTCTCCACAACAAGCTTTCCCAATTTTACACGTGAGGAGACATTCTTCCATCCTACTACTTCTTGCTCTTATCTTTGCAAAGTTTGCACATCGCCAAGCCAGTTTTGAACTACTTTCTTTTTTCTTATCCCTGACCGCTGCTCTGCACTGCTCAGTTCAGTCTTTATATCATCCTCTTGACTGCTCAATTCCTCTATCTTTCTTTTGAAAATTTTGAAGTTTGCATCAAGGCTGTTGATATATCCAAACCATTTTCCAGTTGCTTCCCCCAAATTCTATACAATTTCAAAAATTGAAACTAAGAATTCCATGGTGTGGTGTGGTTAGTTCCTACAAATATCGAAGTTGTAGAGGATTGTAGTTAAAAGGGGAAAAAATCCTGAAGAAAACTCCAATATCAATTGTGACACTGCCATTCAAAAGCAATTTGAAATTTGATTAAAAGAACAAAAGCAAGGAAAAACATCATATTCACCTCAAAGTCAGTCTTGAATCACTGACAAAAGAATGACTGTGCTAAATAGATATTAGTAACAATGGACCAGCATTTATGTTATTCAAGAGATAAAACCTCAATCAGTAATACTTCAATCAACAATACGGAAAGTCTCAACAACAATCCACAAATTCAGTTTAGTTGAGTTCATATATTGTCACCATCAAGTAAACTAGAGTTCTATAATTTAAGTAAAAGCTAATGTCTCAACAAAATAATTCAAAATAACTCTACTCTTAGCACTTTATCCCAAAAATGACTTGCACAATACCATTGCTCTGGACCTATAATAAAAAAGAAGAGAATCAATTTGATAGCTCAATGAGTATATAAAAAAATGAATGCCTAATTAGTACACATTAATGTATGTTTGGGAGGGGAAAATAAAAATTTTAGTAAGAATTTTTTTAGGTCAATTGATAGGAGATTATTTAAATATTTGAAAATAATTTCACATTCAGATTATCATAGTCCAACAATCATAGAAGCTCAACAATCAACTTAACAAATATAAAAAAGAGATAAACAACACAACATATAGCCCAATAAAGAAACCCCATAATTGAGGAGATTCTTAATCTTTGCCTTTAGCAGGGATTGACGTGGAATATAGTCAGCTCCACGTGGCAGTGATTTGTCGTCCACTGGTGATGAGTCAACCAACCGATCAAACGGTTGTGTATTCGATCTGGAGCAGGTTGATCATAGTCGTTGATTGGAGATGCACGCGATCGTATGGATGAGATGGCACTCGATCGTGATCGGGTATGATTACTCAACGTGTTTATTCGGTGTGAGAATCATTTGCACCGTAGATCGTCGATCCAACGGTTAGATCTGATCGAATGTGATCAAGGGACATGACTATTCGATTAGGTGCATCAAGGCCTATAAATAGGCTGTGAAATCAACCATTTCATTCCATCCAAAAACATTCAGAAGCATTCCTGAATTCCTGCACTTCTCTCTCTCTCTCTCTCTCTTGGTTTTGATTTTTCAATCAGAGTTTCTTAAGCAATTTTTTTGGTTTTTCTTACTGGTAATCAAGTTCTGCAAATTTGATTATCAGTGTCTTGGTTTTCTTGATTATATCAAGAGTATTCTAATCTACTGTCGTCAGTGCAGACGCCGGTAGATTTGATCTTTAGATCAGGCTTCATTGTATCCTGGAGGCAAAATTGTTGTAACCCCTTGCACACCTTTTGGTGTGTGTAAATATTGTCTTTAGGAAAGCGACATAGTAACGCAACTTGAAGCACCAAGTTTCTTTCCTACATAGACAAGATCATCGGCAAGTTTTGAAGACTCGAACAACACCAACTGAAGAATTCAAGACAATTTGCTCCAACAATCTAAAGACAATATTTGGATATGGCGATGTCTATTCAGAAAATAACTCAAGATTTCATGAAGCTTGACCGGTTTGATGGTGGCAATTTCTATCACTGGCAAAAAAAGATGCACTTTTTGCTCACCACTCTCAAAGTGGTCTATGTGCTGACTACCCCCTATCCGGTAGAGGAAAAAAATGAGCTTATGGAGCAAACCCGTACCAGAACCAAATGGGAGAATGACGACTACATTTGTCGAGGACACATTCTGAATGCACTGTTAGACTCTCTATTCGATGTGTATCAATATTTGGAAACGGAAAAGCAACTCTGGGACATACTACAGTCAAAATACCTCACCGAGGATGCCACCAGTAAGAAATTTCTTGTTAGTAATTTTATGCATTTTACTATGATTGATACATAGCCCTTTATAGATCAATTCCATGAGATCCAACATATTTTGAGTCAGTTTCAACAAAAGAATATGAACATGGATGAATCTATTATAGTTTCATCGATAATAGAAAAACTGTCATCTTCTTGGAAGGATTTTAAGAAAACTCTGAAACATAAAAAGGAAGATCTAACTTTAGAGGAATTGGCTCAACACCTCCAAGTTGAGGAAGAGTCAAGACTTCTTGAAAGTAAAGAAAACCAATTGGCTCAGACTTCCAAGATTCACATGGTGGATGATGGCAAGAGGTTCAACAAAAAGAAGCGTAAACGTGAACCCCAACCCGAGAAAGATGCTAAGAAGTTGAAAGGCGCTTGCTAGCACTGTGGCAAGCCAGGGCACTTCGGAAATGAATGCCAATCATACAAGAAGAAGCCAGAAGCATCAAATGCCAAGAACAAGTTTGTGGCTATTGTATTCGAGGTAAACATGCTCGAAGATGCTGGTGACTGGTGGATTGACTCAGAACCAACAAGGCACATCTGCAATGACAAAATCCGTTTCACTACTTATGAACAAGTGAGTGATGGAACAGTTCTCTACATGGGAAACTCTTCAACTGCTGCTATCAAAAGCAAAGGGACGGTGGATCTAGAGTTCACATCTGAAAAAGTCTTAAGTCTTAATGATGTTTATACCTGATGTTAGGAAAAACCTTATATCTGGAAGCCTGCTTAATAAGCATGGTTTCAAGTTAGTATTTGAGTCGAACAAATTTGTCCTGTCTAAGGGTGGAATTTTTGTTGGGAAGGGCTACATGTATCAGGGAATGTTCAAACTTAACATTATCAATAATACATCTATTTCTGCTTATATTGTTGATTCTCTTTCTTTATGGCATGCTCGTTTTGTTCATGTTAATACTAGGAAATGGCATGATATGGTTAAATTAGATTCAATTCCTAAGTATGACATTGATATGTTTGAAAAATGTAAATTTTGTGTGCAATAAAAAATTACTCGCATTCCATTTCCTAAAGTAGATAAAACCACATCTTTGCTTGAACTTGTACATAGTGATGTATGTGACATGTATAGTACCCCCACTAGAGGTGGTAAGAAATATTTTGTAACATTCATTGATGATTTTTCTAAGTATTGTCATATCTATCTTTTACATTCAAAAGATGAGGTGTTTGATAAATTCAAGATTTTTAAGACAGAAGTAGAAAATCAGTGTAATGTCAAAATAAAGAGACTTAGGTCTGATAGAGGCGGTGAATACCATTTTCCAAAATATTGTGAAAATGTTGGTATTATTCATGAGAAGTTTGCACACGCACCACAACAAAATGGAGTAGCTGAAAGAAAGAATAGGACATTAACAGAAATGATTAATGCTATACTTTCTTACTCCAGTTTAAGTTATGGTTTTTGGGGTGAAGCCTTGCTCACTGCCTATCACATACTCAATAAAATTCCTCCTAAGGGAGGAAATGTTACTCTTTATGAACTATGGAAAAACAAGAAATCTAATCTTGGTTACTTGAAAACATGGGGCTATAGAGTAATAATCAGATTGCCTGAACCTGAAAAGAAGAAATTTGGTGAAAACAGAATTGAATGCATATTCCTTGGCTATACTATACATAGCAAAGCATATAGGTTTCTAGTAGTAGAGCCCAATGGTTCAATGGAAACAAATACCATCATTGAATCTCATGATGCGGTATTTTATGAGAATCGTTTCACAACCATTCCAAGGTTGGATTCTAATCAGGGATATGAATAAACTCCTTTGATGTCTACAGAGGAAAGTGAACGACATGAACACCCATTGAGCCTAATGAACCTAACGAGCCTATTGAGCTAAGGAGTAAGAGGGCTAGGATTGAGAAGTCAGTCATTTGGCCTTGATTTCGTTATTTACCTTGTAAAAGGAACTGGGAAAGCTTATTGTAAGAAAACATCAATTTCTTTGAATATGGATTCAGATCCATTAACCTTTGAGGAGGCTATGAAGTCTCAAGATTCTGCTTTCTGGAAAGAAGCAATAAACGATGGATGGATTCTATCATGGGTAACAATACCCGAATACTTGCTGATTTGCCACCTGGATCCAAACCAATTGGTTGTAAATGGATTTTCAAAAGGAAAATGAAAGTTGATGGCACAATTGACAAGTTCAAAGCAAGATTAGTTGCTAAGGGTTTTATTCAAAAGTTGAGTATCGATTATTTTGATACATATGCTCCGGTGGTTAGAATCGCCACCATTCGAGTGTTGATTGCCTTAGCCTCAATCTACAAGCTTGAAATCCATCAAATGGATGCTAAGACTGCTTTCCTAAATGGAGAGTTAGATGAGAAAATCTACATGCAACAACCGGAAGGATTTGTTATACAGGGTCAAGAACACAAAGTGTGTAAACTCGTGAAGTCATTATATGGACTGAAACAAGCTCCAAAACAGTGGCATGAGAAATTTGACAAAGTAATAGTGTCAAATGGTTTTAGGATACATGAATCTGATAAGTGTGTGTACAGTAAGTTTATTTGAAATAGAGGTGTAATCATATGCCTATATGTAGATAACATGTTTATTTTTGGTACTGACAATGATGTCATTGAAAGTACTAAAAGTTTCTTGTCATCTAGCTTTAGTATGAAAGACATGGGCTTG